GCAAGAGAGGCCTTTCTGCCCAATCCAGAGCTACTTCACAGTGCAAACGCAGCTCTTCCCCTCAGACCGCCATTATTGATGTTTGGGGAAAAACCTCCAAAACCCCACAAACAAAGTCCCCCCTTATGTATTAAAGGACCACGCTTCTCAGGGGTGCTCCAGGAAAAAGCAAGTTTTCCACACAAGTTGTTCCTAATTTAAATATTTTTACAGATCAAACCATTAAAAGCTCGATAGCAAAAAACCCACAAGAACCAACAACAACAACGACGAACCCCACAAAAACCAGCACATCAAAACACAAGGAACATTCAATTAAACCTCATATCCAAATACACAGAACATTCAATTAAACCTCATATCCAAATACAGAGAACGTTAAATTAAACCTCATAAGAGACATATTAAAGCCAACACAAATGCCTCAAAACGTCTCATGTCCAAGTTAAAGTCCCAGCCCCCTTTTCCTGTCCTCTCCCCAAACCAGGCCCCTCATGAGGGCAGGCTCGGCCACAGGCTCTTACCTTGACAGAGGAACATCCTGAAGCCATGAGGGATCCAAAACCACAAATATCCTGGAAACAGTGCGGGAGAACAGCCCTGCTCGGGTGCTGGAAGGGGAATGGAGCCGGGGAAGGGGATGGGGAGGTGATCACCCAGCTGCAGGTGATGCACCCTCAGCAGTGCCCTCACACCACAGCTGAGGGGGATCATTGCTTTGGAAACGGCCCTAAGAAAACCATCAGGTTTTGTTCACCTGCCTTTGAACTGTGGTTTTATAGAGTCTTTGTATCAACTCCATAAATTGTGTTTAATCCAGAGGATGTACGGATAATATTTCCCATCTTTATATCTAGATATCCCCATATCTACTTCCCAGTTTCTGAACACTGCACAATCCTTAGATCTCCATCCACACTCCCTAAATCAGGGGGATTTTTTTCAGTCCTTTAGGACAGCTCAGAAGAAATATAGGTGTTTTCACTGAGCCACCTCAGATTGGTTTTCTCTGCCCTCACGTTTGTGGTAGCTGAATTTGCAGTGATTTCGGAGAATACCCACATGAACATATTGTTTAGTGAAAGCAAAGATGGCACAGGGCTCTGGAAACGTGGTGCCAAGTGTCATTATTGTAGTATTTTTTAATTCTGTCTTGGGGAGTAAAGTCCATTAAGTGCCTTACCCATAAAGGGGAATGGTATTGGGAACAGAAAAAACTTCCACGCAAAGGTTGGAATACATTTTTTGCCACAGAACAAAAGGAAAATGAAAAACAGGCCTTAAAAGCCAAATGAGTAAAAAAATCGGTTTCCTGGGCCAGAGTTTACTATGAATAGATCTTTTCAGCCCTAAGCAGTGCTAAGAAAGTCAATGCTTCTCTAAGCCAGGTTTCAGCTAAAAAAGAGGTGTTCCTTTATTCCTTCTTCTCCCTCATAAGCTCTGACTCCTTTCTGCTCATTCTGCCTCTTTCTTCCTACACTGAGGAAAGTAAAGAAAGAGGAGTGGAGCTGGGCAAGTTTGACACTTGGCTCAATTCTTACCTTTGTAGAGTTTCTTTCTCTGAATGACATCTGAAAATTGGGAAAACAAACTGGAAATCTTAACAACAATAACCTTTGTGGTTTTATCTGGCAGATTGAAAAAGGCAGGAAAACAGGAACATCCTCACTGACAGCCCTTTCCCATGGGAATTCATGTGGAAAAAAAATCCTTACGCTAAATAAAGCTCAAGCAATGTATTCTGAAGTAATTTTCCTGTATTTAAACCAGATTTCCTTCTCGTGTCATGCTGAAGTGATGTCAAACATGGATTTGACTTGGATCGTATCAGAGAGCTGAGGCCAGTTTCAAGGCTTGCTCTGCCAAACCGGATCTACCTGGGATCAGAAATTCCTGATGGTACAATCTGAGAAAACCTCTTTTCTTGGTGGCTGGAAAATCCACTCAGTAAATTCATATAATAATAATAAATAAATAAATAAATAAATAAATAAATAAATAAATAAATAAATAAATAAATAAATAAATAAATAATAAAAAATAACAATAAACGAGAACAGAATGAAAATAAATTAGTCCTTCCCTAAAACACTGGGATCATTTTCTGCTGATGATGATCAAGACTGAGATGGAAAATTTCTCTCCTGCCTCCATCATTACTGATTGTTTGGGATGCTTCACTTCTTCAAACATCTGTCTGCACACTGTGTACAACTTACGTAACCTATTAATCACTGTGTTGCTTCTTGTTAACAAAGAGACCAATTTTTGTCAATACACCACTAATCAATATGTTACAGAGTTTGACTGCAGCTGCAACAATCCCAAACATTCATTAATTCCATCAGAAGAAAGGCTGAGTATAAAAGCTGGAAATTCCACCCCAGCCTTACAGATTCCATCCAGTTTAATTCTGTATGCATGGGCTTTATCACAGAACTAAGGATTTACGCAGTGGCTACTGGCTTTGAATGAATTACCAACAAAAGCTCAATTCTGTTTAGAAAGTCAATGAAATTCAGAGCCATGAAACTGAAACCCTGCTCCGAAAGACTCAAAGTATTGCTTTTGTATCTCAGGCTTTATTGACAGGAACTCTTGAGCTACTGAAAGACAAAAATAGCATTTCAAACACTTTCTAGGACAACCCCAGAGGTCTCAGACAGGGGTCTGAGCATGTCTGGGTGAAAGCTCCAACCTGTGGAGCTGCAAAGCATCACCTTTTAAAATTAAGGTGATTTTTCTTCACCCTTAGAGGCTGCAAAGGTGCCTGAGTGCCTCCCATCCTTCAGGGGATTCTCCCAGGGAATATGTTCTCATGGGATTTAGAGGCTTTACACAGCTCCTTGAACTTATGAGTACAGGCACAAAAGTCAGCCTAAAACAGGCTGCTTTTTATGTCATCAGAACTAGTGGGTCATTCTAATGCCAGTCATTCACTGCCAGGATGGAAATGATCCGGGCTGGGATTTGGAATTCATTTGGAATGCTTTGCCTACCTGATGGATTAACAACCTTAACACTGTTAACATGGGGAAACATTAGGTGGGAGGAGGTAGACTGGAGGCAGCTGCTCACCATGGAAATGTTTCTGGTTTAGAAACATAAGGTGACCTCAGAATTTAAAAACTGTCCAAATTTAAAATTTTTAAATCCCAGCTGTTATTTACCCTCCTTTCAGCACTCGCTCTGCCCCCCTCATCTTCCTTGGTTAGGCATTGACCACGAATGGACTATTTTTCCCTGGGAACTGAGAGCATCTAATACAGTCTGGCTTTGAACTCCACTGGATTTCCCTAAAAAAATCATTCAATAGAGACAATTTCCTGGCTATGACTTTTTCATTGCAGTGTTTTCAACTCTACAGCCTTATATAGGCATGATTTGCTGTTTTTTCTCCATGCAGGAATCTTTGTGTTTCCAAGGAAAGGTGACAACACCCACCAAAGCCCTGCAGAAAGGTCAGTGTCCATGGGACCATTTCACTGGAGACTCTTTGGGAGAAATGTTATAAAACTGAGTCCAGGTAATTGGGCAGAGCACAGGGAAGGGGTGAAAGGACTCCTCACAACTGTGATTTCAGTGCTAACCGTACCACCACTTAACTAACCTGTGTTTGGAATGATAAAAAGCCATTTAAAGGAGGCTGGGGAGAGTGAAGAGGAAGAAATAGATTAATAGATCTCCATGTTGAGCATAATTGATTTGGGGCATGTACTCCACAAACCCTTCACCAATGATTTATCTTCATTTGGTGGGCAGAACACCGAGTTCAGTCAGGTCCTCCGAGAGCCATCCATCAACTGCCTCATCAGCACAAAGAAGTGGTGCCTCCTCTTGCTGTTTTATCTTTCCTTTTGCTTCCATACGTGACTTCAACAAAACAGGGCATCATTTTTCTTTGAAAAATAAATAAATCACTGCTGGTTTTGAAGGGAGACCCAGCACCAGCACGCACTGAGCTGTTACTGAGTCAGCTCCAAAGCTGATCCTGCATCTCCCACCTGCTGAATTGCAGCTCTGCTCATCCCCTGCACACGGACAAGGGAGAGGTAATGCCTTATTTAAACTGCTGGGGATAAAGCTCAAACAATCTGTTCTGCTGTTTGGTGCAAGGAACATTTTCTTTGAGGATTTAACAGGGCTCATCACTCTGGTAATGAGCAAAATAGGAGAGACAGCTACTGATAAAAGCAGAGTGTCCAAATACCTCCAGCATGTTCCTTCTGCCTCCAAGTAAAATGCCACGGGAAGGGAGCCCTGGGCCAGGATATCTTCATTTTCCTCCAGAAAAACCTGCTGAGGAAGAGTCTAAGGAGCAGTTTCTTCACATCCATTTGCCCTGGAATTGCCAGCAGAGCAAGGCACCACTCCAGGCTTTAATCCTGGTGCTGCAGCCTTCAAAATCTAAGCCCTGCTAACCACCTCCCCACCACATACCATTGCAATGGGCTGCACCTACATTTTGCCTTTTGAAGCACTTGGCTTCTTGCTTACCACTGATTTTCTCAGGCAGAGGGAAGTTTGTATAACCCCTGGTTCTCCAAGCAAGAGGTTTCAACAGGGTTAGGAGAAGGTGGGGAGAAGGAATGTGTGCAACACATCCAAGAAAAGGAACTAGAGGGGATTCCTCAGTGAGCTGCAGCCAGGGTCAAACTGATCTCCAACATTAAATGAGGACAAAGGAGGATGGAATAAAAACACAACAGGCATGAAACAAACAAACAAACAACCCATCCTATGTCCCAATCACCCCCTTTTTGAAGGATCTATTTTCTCTGCATAATTGTAAATTCTGAGGAAGACTGATACAGTTCTTTGAAATGCCATTTAAGAACTGCATGGGCAGCAGTATTTGCTTTTAGGTGTGTGAGCTCACTGAAATGGGCATCTCATTTATCATATCCAAACATTGTTTTTTGGTGACATTTAAATAACACCGAAGTCCATCAGGGCAGACAGCTCATGGCAATTTTGGGAACATTTCCTCAACTGCTTACCTTGCTTTTCATAATTTTTGGCTGCTCAGGAGGGTGCAGATGATACATGTGAGCCACTCACAGTCTGGACATTTGCAGTTCTGTACCTTCTTCCTGATGATAATTCATGGACAGCTGGAAAAGATGAGGTAGGAAGATCCTTTAGTCCAAGCACCACTGAGGGGACAGGTTGTTAAACACCCAAACCCCAACAATCCCTAACTGGAATTCCCTAAAATCGATTTATTGCCTCTTGTCCTGCCAAGATTTTGCATTCAAAGCAAGACAGGGAGGGAAACAAGAAATAATTTTAATGTCTTTTTTTCAGGATGATTTCAGGAACCCTGAAACTGCGACTTCTGAAGTCCCACTGCCAGCCTGTGTATTTAATCTACAAAACTGTAATAACATGTGATTAGTTAAAATGAAATACAGTCCCCAATTCATCTTTGCAAAACGCTTGGAAAAGTTCATGAGGAGAAAGGTAATTTTCCTTTTATAAAGCAGCTCCCAGCACAAGGAATTTTTTTTTCTATAAAAAAGTGACCTAAACTGAAAAGAAATATTCTTCAACAAGGGGAAACCTGATCCTGCATGAAAGTGGGAGTAGTATAGGAATTAAATCATATATTTTCAGCTTTAGGAGCTGATTTGTAAACCAGAAATGCTCCTGTTTGTGATCATACAAAGAGTTGGTGGATCCATGACTTCAATGAGCAAGTGTTTTGCCCTGAGATAATCCATGGGGAATAATTGCACTCAACCTTTCATCTGCAGTTTTGTACAGACCAATACATTGCAAATGGACAGTTTCAAAAGGCCAAACTCCACTGTCAAAACCAGCAAACAACCAAACTTTTAAAAAAATACCAATCAGCTATTTCTCCATGAGCTGATCACTGTCCCTGCACTGAGCCCAAGGTACACAGTGCCTGCCCTGTTAGTGCTCTACGAAGAAGAAGTAAAATATCAGTTTTATTCACTATACAAAAATCTTCTATTAAAAATTTTATGAATATTTAAAATCTGCAAGTGCATTTTTTTATGTTCTCCATCATGGCCTAGCACAATTCCCATAGTGTTCAGTGTGATTTCTCCCTGCTGAAACCAATAACAGGTAAGAGAAGACGCTCCCCCCGGCACAGTTAATTAGCCCAGGTGTTAATTGGGTGTTCCAGATGGGCAGACAAGCAGCAGTGGGACAGAGAGGCAGGGCTGAGAACCCTGAAGGATGGATGATGCATCTCCAGTTGTGTGACCTTCCTTGTCATAGGAGACACATCATGGCGAGAAATATCAGAGCTGAGACAAGTCACAGACACCAAAATACAGTAAAATGCAAAAAATAAAGGAACAAGTGAATATCTTGTCAGCTCAAGTGCGCCCATTAATTGAAATAAATGAAACATCCCAGCCGAGGAAAGGAATGGAACCTGCAGTGAGTGACAGAATTCCCGTTTTGAAGGATGGCTGGGTGGCTTCCCACAGCTCCAGCTCCCTTTGGATAATCATCTCCCAGCAGGAAGAACGACAACATGTCAAAGGTTTGTCATCCTTCTTCTTCACCCCCTCTAATTGCTATTTTATCTTTCAATAATTGGCAGACGCAGAGCTCAGTTGTGGCTTTTGTGTTAACCCACAATACTGGGGGAAGGGGGGATAAATCCCCAACCAAGGATTTTGCTTTGCACACTTGGGCTTGCAGGAATAAAATGAAACAGTTTAATGGAGTTCTAGAATATCACAAAAGTGCCAGGATACCAAGTATCTGGAGAGCTTTGAGCTGAGTTAAACAAATCCTTCTCAAAGGAGACTTTTTAATGTGAGAAAAAAGAAAGAAAGAAAGAGAAGAAAAAAGGCACGTAATTAAAACAAAAAAGCAACTTCATCTGATGGGATTAAATTTATGGCCAGGTGTGTGTGCAGTTCTCCCTGCCAAACCTTTACATGGGAATTCTTATTGCCTATGGAAATGAACTGTGGATTCCGTGCTCCTCCTTCCTGGAGATTCCAGCCAGCACATACCCACTCCAGGGATTTCCTTTGACTTCCTCCCTTGATTGTTGGATAAGGGAGCATCCCCACTGGATAGAACCCACAGTAGAGTCATCTCCCACTCCAGCACAGTTCACCCACAAACACCAACACTTGGCAGGGCTAATATGGAACCAAACAGCCAATCATGGCAGTTACCTGTAAATAAACACTATTGTTCTCCCCATCCTAACAAAGACCAGTTTTCCCATGTTCCATCCAATGATTTGCTCCCAAGGATTTCAGTGCAATTCATTTCCACTGGGCCAGAAAGCAGCTGAAGGCTCTGCAGTGGCAACCTGTCAGTTTTAAAAACATTTTTCCTGTTACCTGCTAAAGTTATTTAGGTTTCCTTCAAGGTTTGTATGTGCCAATTTATTTAAATTATTTTCCAATAGACCCTGAAAAATCACAGAGAACAGAAATAAATGGATGAAGCACGGAGAGCAAGGATATGTTGCTCCAGATTATCTGTCTCTTTGGCTTCATCTCCACGTAAGCACAGAAACAATATGAGTCAAATGTAAAGAAATTGGAAAAACATCAGCTTAAGCATAACAAATTACTGTATTGCTGAGGAACATGAAGAACAAACAACCCACGTGCAGCTCAGAGAGAAATCTGGATTTTTGTCATAGATCTTATATAAGGATGGGATCATTATGTCTTACAAAAACCTCACATTCATCTCTCTGCTTTCATTCTTTGAGTTTGGAGGGAAATCCCACATCCTGCCCAGCAAAGCAAGCTGAGGAAACTCCAAATGGAAATCTCCAGATGTTCCCTCAGAGCCATAAAACTTAGCACATGAATAGTTGCATGGATTTAGTGCAGCAATCACAGGATCTCGAGGACAACAACTCCAATTCTCTGCACAACACATTTATGAGGCTCCAAATGGTAAAACCATCACACTGATTCCCATCATTGAAGGGAGAAATTCCTTGTTACAATGTTTTACTGAGAATGTGGAGGGGGGGAGCACTGAAACATAAAAATATCTAAAATTTGGGATATCTGGGTACAAAAACCAAAGCAGGAGTTCCTGGTGATGTCAGTGTTTTCCCTTTCCTCCCTCTTTGGGGTCACAGGCTCTTCCTGACCCTCTGGACAAGCCTGGCTACAGCAGCCAGGAAATCCCCTGGTGCACAAACAACTGGGACTCAGCAGAATTCATCCCTGCAAGTTTCTCAGTGCATTTTAGCTATTTTTAAATGAGGAAATAATAATAACAACACCAGCAAAATCAAATCTTCTGGTACTCGGGGTTGTTACCTTTTGGTGTTTCTAAAACCCTCAGTTCTGCAGGAGCACAACCAATCTGGGCCTCTTGAAATGCTCTCCTGCCTCCTCCTCCCCCTCTCCTGTGGAATATCCTTTGGAATTGAGGGGTTTGGCCCAAGATTTGCAGCTCCAGGGAGCCCAAACTGCAGTTCAGGCTCCACCACGGACCAAAAACAGAATTAGAGGAAAGAAATCCCCTCACTTTTCAGTCTGTACTTTCCTTCCCCAAGGCTGCCCACAGGAGAAGGATGAAGGAAGTGCTCATCATTCCCTAATGGTGCATTATTCCTGCCACTGCTGGGCAGGGTTTTGTGTGTGCCACTGAAACAGCACCAGACAAGGTGCATTAACCTGCTCAGTATAAATGGGAAAAGAATCAAAAAATTAATTTAAAATTTAGAATTTACTTAAAAATTAAATTGAAAATTAATTTTAAAATACCTTCAACTACTTGATCCTCAACTCCCTCATAAATCAGGAGCCCAGAGACTCAGAAATCCCCAGTATTCCTTCTCTGGCAGGCACTGACCAGCCCTAGGACACCCCTCAGTCCCTCTGCCAGGGCAGCAGTTACATGCACTGATAAAAGAGGTGGGAAAAGTCCTTTAAATGAGTCATCCCACAAAAGCCTATTCTCTTTTTTTCTTATTTTTGCTGGCCTAGGAACGGATTGAAAGCAGCCTCCTCCGTTTCCATGGCACCCAGAGCGGCAGCCGACGGCCTTGTTATCACAAGAACTCTCCTAAATTTCAACAGATTGCTGGGAATTGCTATTTTGTGGGGTTTGTGGTTTTTTTTCCCCTATATTCAGGTAACCCTCTATTCCTGGAACCTCCAAAACGGTCCAAAAGTCTCTGGTGGAGTTAAACTCTTCATGGTGGTGATAGTTTTTAAACAAGAAATAAAATAGAACGGAGAGAATGAAAAAAACCCTAAAAAACCCCTTATTTTTTTCTTAGTTATGCTGGGCTTGGCAGAGCTCTAAATAGGTTTGTCTGGTGGATCCTACCTGGGCAACATCTGCTCACAGCCACTGAAGAGCACCCAGGGATGGCCCTGGAGACAGAATTCCTTCCCCTTGAGCTGGGCTCCCAAAAAGCTGCTGTGCTGCCCTGGGGAGTTTTGAAAAGAGATTAATGAACACTCAGAGATATTTTACACTCAGAGATACTTTTCATCACTCAGATTCATCTCTGTAAAGCCTCATGAATATGTAGCAGTGTCTTTTACTTCTTTTCAGGATCACCCAGGCTCGGGGATTTTTGGATTCCTTTGGTTTCGAAGGTATTGATTCCGTGGCTTCCACTTTGATTTTCTGTACAATTATAAGTGATTGAACATTGAGCACCATTCATGAACTGGAAGAGAATTGGCCCTTCATGGTTTCAAAGGTAACTGAAAAAACCCTGTACATTATCCCCTGTGTTTTGTTAATTATCCTGGTTTTTTACACTGTGCCTTGTGACCCAAACTCACCAAAGAACTGCTCTTTCCCCAAAGAATCTGTGATTCACTTAATGAATGATAAAATATAATAAGTCCTGTAGAGCTTTAGAACTACATATTCCTACAAATGGGGTTTCTTGGTATAGTATGAAAAATAAAACTGAAAAGCCTCACCTGAGTTTCAAAAAGTGCTTTTCCCCACATTTCGATATTAACATTTCTATGTGTAAAAATCTTGTTAAAAGAGACTGTCCCACAGACAATTACACAGGAAAATATACAGAAATAAAATCACATGAGCTTTACCCAACTTCACCTCACAGGAAATGGTCTTTTCTTTGGGAGCCACAGGAAGGAAAACGTGGAGAGGGAATAAAGTTCTTTAGCAACAGTAACTTAATCACTCGAGTTACTGACAGATCATTTTACTATGAGAAATAACATACAATAAAACCAGAGAAGATTTTCTTGGTGTTTTGGGAGATGCTGCTGTAAAACATCTGAATTATCACTGAGAGGTTAAAAAAGCACTTTGGCATTCCAGGCTCCACCAGATGGTTTGTATCCTCATTTCTTGAGGAGCTGCAGAGGCACAGGGAGTATATTCCAAGAAAATACAGCCCCAGCAAACCTCCATTTCATCCACAGAGGCCTTAACAAAATGACTGAAACGACTCCAGTTTAGCACACCATTATAAATCATTTTACAGCCCTAATATCCTCAGGTTCAGACATTAAAAGAACAATAAAACTGCTTAGGAGGTGCTGTCTCCAGCTAAGAAGCACCATGGAATTCACCAAACTGACTCCAGCTTCTGGGGAATGGCCTGGAATGTTAAGGAATTAAAGTGGTTGAGGAGTCTATTAATTTTGGAGGGTGTGTGTATATATATACACACTATATACACACATTGAATCTTTCAAAATGCACCACTCCAGCAAAGTGAATTAAATACCATTGAGGGAATATTAAACAACTCCAGAAGAAACTATCACTCTCCCTAATTTCTTTCTTCGTGTCTCGGGCAGGTAAATTATGAGGAATTTGTTATCAGGGAGGAAAACACTTCAATCTTGCCCAGATACCAGTAATGAGATGTGACAACAGCCCCAATTTGTGCGTGAGGAGGGCTCAGAAGGCTGGTCAGGGGTGTGCTGGGGGGGCTCATCTGCAAAGGCACAGGGTGACACTGGAAACCTGCTCTGCCTGTGCTCCTCTCCTCCTTTTCCCAGCCTTGGCAGGGCAAACAATTCCTGCCCCTCCAATAGAAACCAGGGTAAGTGACTGAGAGAGGCAGAATTAATTCCTTGTGTTTGATGTGTTCTGCTTCTCCCCACTCTGCAATTTAATCCAATAGTGCTGCTCCACACAACTGATGGGATTTATCGGACTCTCCTGCAGTTCATGTTTTTATTTGGAAATTGTTATCTTATTGATTAGATTTTTCATATACTCCCCATTAACTTGCTTCTATCTCCTCCAAAACACTTTCCACACTTCATTTTGTCCACAGTGCAGCTCTACTTACTCAAATATTATAACACATAATTTTCTATAACTACAGTATACAACACAAAATGAATGCAAGGTTCAGGGTCAATTTGAAAGATTAAAAGTAAGATTTCAATTCTCCTGGGTGAAAGCGATTTCTGAAAAAGTTAATTATTCCTCTTTAGCTCAGACTTACCCCTTCAAGCTTTCTGCTCACCAGAGATCTGAAAGGATTTCACTTTTCACTCCTGGACACAGAATGGCCCAGCAGAATATTAAAAGCTGAAATAATGTGTGAGACCTGAAGAGTTATTGCTGCTATTTACGAAGTACCAGGAACAGGTCCTGCTTTCAGTTATTTCTGAAGTTACTCCACTGAGCCTGATGCCCTATTGCCCTGCATAATATGTACATCTAAATGTACCCAGCGTGGGTTAGAAAGCACTCAGGGCACATTTCAGCTCCATGTGACGCTGATAAACAGCCACGAGAGAGACACTTGTTCCTAAAAAAGATGCTTTAGGCTAACAGGAAATATTATCAATAAACCTTCTGTGCATTTGAGGAGGGGAAAATAAGCTGTATTTCTAATGTGCCCTGTCAAGGCACCTGGTTACGGTTTTTATTGGGTTTAATGGGATGTGTTTGGTTTCTGTTGAAAAGGGAGTGGAAATGGAACGTGGGTTTCACAGAACAGATTAACATCTCTTATCTGAGACATTATCATCTCTTAAAATATGATTTCTAGCCCTGGAAAACACAGGAACACACAGTCTGTGGCTCAAAGAGGTTACACACAGTTGCAGTGCCTGTGGCCACAGAGAGGAGGAGGAGGAAGAAAAGGACCAGGGATTCAGGAACCTGCTGCCCCCAGAGCTTTGGCCCCCAGGAAGTGTGAGGAGAAGGATGGATCCCAAGAGCCATTCCCTGGGTGGGAAGTGCTGGAGCAGGGTGACCATCACCCTGCTGTGGGGGTCAGAGGAGAGGAAGGGTCTGTGCTGGCTGAGGGTCACCCCCAGGACTCTGGAGGGTGCCAGCACCAGGAATTGTCCACAGGGTGCTCTGAAGAGAGGCTGGGATGCCCACAGCTGGTTCCAATGGGTTCCATCCAGCTCCAAGGGCCCCTGAGAGCCTTCTGGATGCCAGAGCTGTGGGACTCCTCCTGCAGCCCATTGGGTCATGTCCTTACAGGTGCTGTGAACTCCAAGGCAGGAGGAAGATCCCACATTCCCATGCAGCAGGGAGGGGAGAGTTCTGTGGGGTGTGTTGGGAGAATATCTGCAGATCTTGCACGTAGTAAAAAAATACAGGGTTGAACTGGGGTTTTAGAAGGTTCTTCTAAGAGAACTTTGAAGGAGGAGGTTTGTGGCAGCTCCGCAGTGTGACCTTTGGAGCAGCCGAGGGGCTGATTTGCTCACCAGCCCATCAAAGACTCACCACTGTCACTGCCTCTCCCCCATCCTTCCCCCAGGGCTCTGCTGCTTTACTGCCACTGAGTTTGGCAGGAACTCGTGGCTTTCCAGGAGTCATCTGGGGTGACCAGATCCAGAATCCCTTCACTTCCCTCCTCTTGCTCCCAGCAGGCCCCCAGAGCCTCGCACATCCCTCACCATGAACCCCCTCGCTCCTGAGCCTGAGGTGAGGTCACCTGGCACTGCCTGGACAGCTGGGATGGATAACTGGGCACCTTCCAGCCTCCTGGGGCAGAGGCACAAAGCCTCCTGGCAGGAGAAGTGCTCTCATCAGTCCTCTCCATGCCCCAAAACCCACAGCAGAACAAGGGTTCCAGCACATTGCACAGCACTAGGGAATACGAGAACATTCCCACCAGGATGGAATGTTTTCCTGTTATCTGATTAGGTGTGGCTTAATAAACAAGCTGGAGCAGCACAGGATGTTCCAATGCAATGGTGCTGCATTAACAAGCAGTAACTGATGATTTTTGTCAGCCCTACAGGAAGAGAGGCAGCACTGAAAGGAAGCTGCATTCCCAGATTGCCTGTTCCTCCCTCATCCTGCAAAAAACCCACAGAGACACCTTCTGCCAGGGAAATGCAGTCACATAACTCCAGACATCCGGGTGCTCACTAGTCCTAGAAATAAAACCACATATTCCCCAAAATCCTGTAATGGGATGGGATACCAGTGACATAGCACTGAAATTGTAAATACTACAGGTGGGGGAAGTGTGTTCAACAGGGTGTTCAATGGGTTCATTTGGCCTCTGTTGTTTTTCCATGAGCTGATTTGAACAAATCCTACTTATTAGATCTTTAATTCCTGCAAAGACATTTCTACCTAAAGAGCACTTGCAAATTATGCCCTGCTACTGCTGTCTCACAGGGGGAACAATCACACAAATTAGGGATTCTCAACTCTACTCCTGATCAGAGACTCACTGAAAACAAAGGGCACAACAAGTGTCACATCACTTGGGACAGAGCTCCTGACCATCAGGAGCAGTGAGAATCCTCATCTCATTGCAGTTTGCCTTGTATATTCCCAATTTTCTATCAGTACAGCTGGAGGAGGACACTGCCCTGCTTTATGATGGGGATGGTTTCAGACTGGAAGAAGATGGTTTTAGGCTGATGACCCTGTTGGAAGTGGGGGGCACTGGCACCTCAGAGCAGTTTTCCCTGTGTTCTGCCAAGGGGTGGTTGGAAAAACTCCAATTAACTTCAGGAACCATGAGTTTTTGGAGCAGCACTTTCAATGAATATTAAAATTGTGAATTTAGTGTGAAGTCTGGGACTACGGAATAAATTTTACTGCATTAAAATAATAAACAAAACTGACAGGGTATTAAACTGAGCTTCCATGAAAACAATTCCCTGTGGTCTCCAGTGCAGATTCCTCAGCTCAGAGCTGGATCAGCCATGGAGAGCAACCAAGAGCTCAGAGCTCACCCTGGAGTCCAACCCACTTTCACCCCAAAATGAGTTTGGTTTGCTCTGGGTTTGTTTGGGTTGGGTTTTTTTCAGCACAGAACTGCCAGAGAGGTTTTAGCCCATGAGAGAGAGAGGCAGGAAAGCTGAAACCAGTCAAAAGCCACAAAATCAAACACCAAAGGCTAAGTCCAACCCAGAAAGGACTGAAGCAGTCAAGCAGCTGCCCCTGTGTGGATGATAAACCATCATCATTCCAAAGCTGATCTCTGTCATTCTGTCCCAC